GGTGGCCGATGGAGCTCGGGCGGCCATTTGCTCGGTGTCATGGGAACACGCAGAATTTCTTCATGTGACTTCTCGCTTGCTGATAAAATAATCTGGCCCCCCAATATGCCCATCTGGCTGGTTTACACCCTAGTCCAAAAAATGGAACATAGAAATTTACCTTGCCCTTCACTAGTTTCTCCTTCTCTTCCCCCCTCCCCCCTTTTTTTCCTGCTTAAATATGTTTCCAGACTCTCTTTTTGGTCTTTTCTATCCTCTATATCAGGTTTTTGTGGTGCTTTTCTGTTACCTGATGGCCTCTTTCCCATCCCATGCCAGGGAAAGGTGAAGGTGAGGCGGCCGTCAGCCCTGGCAGGCCTGGCCTTACTCCCAGGGGGTGCCTGTCTTTTTAAGCAAGTGAACACGTAAATAAAAGTATCTGTTTAAAGGACCTTTCCTTTAACTCGGTGCACCTTTCTCATGTGCGTTGTCAAAGATAGGAGCACAGCAGTTCCCCACCACTGTACCTACCTCAGATACACCCCTTCTACCTCATTTTCATTGAAAGGGGTAGTAGAAAGACCGAGACTATTAAAATAAATCTCTCAAATCACGTTATCACATATTAACTTTTTGCGAAACAAGGACAAAGGACACATTCGTTGTTGATGGAACAGTTCATGAAAACATAAATAATTATATAATCCAGTGAGCTCAGACTATGAATGATCAAGTCTTGTGCCACCTCAGTGAGTTATAGTGTGGACCTGTACCATTAATTTATTCTCTTCATGCTCAGAAAGAAGTCCGTGAGGACAACGCTTGTGTAGAGGCCTTTGGAAGGACTCCTCACTGCAGGCCTGACGGTGCCGAGCAGACGTTCCTGTTGCTGTAACTCACGTGCAGACATCGTCTTCAGAAACATCAGGATCACAAACTCAGAAGTCAGATTTGGCCCAATCTAACACTACTGGCCTGAGACAAGTCAGTTATTGCTTCATAACTGCAGTGCGTAGGAGCAGGGCGTTTCCCTTATTCCCCACACCCTCTAATTAGGATCTTCAGACTCACGAGGATAACACGGTCACCAGTCACCTTTAGTGCTTTTGTATGAAAAACACAATTAAATGTAGACATGGGTAACTACGCCCACTTGTAGAGTGGCTGGCCACATAGCAGAATTTCTTTAATGTATTTCACTTAATGTGTGTGTCACTAACATAAGGGACAGGTGTTTTCTGAAGTTTTGCTTGGTTTTGATCATCAGCTGAAACTTTTTAACAACAGGAAATCAGAAATTGTCTTGAATCATTAACTGATCAGGAAGAGACCGAGGCCTTGTGTGACTAAGAGTTTGTCTGTTCATTTCCCAGTTGCGTCACTCAAAAAAAACCAGTAGGAGCTCCAGGACCTACAGGCCTGTGTTTGCTTGTGTTTCTGGACCATCACAGCTATCGCAACTTTGTGAAAGATATCAGAAGTCTCTCAGCATTTCAACTAATTTACGCTTTCAATAGCACCGGAAATTAATAACACAAAATTCAGGTAATGCAATCTGCCTTTTTATCACGTTGCTGTTATAGCACTTCCAGGCTACAGTCCAATTTCCAGTGAAGCACCTTTCAAATTTTAAAAAGTGAAGAGCAGAACGTAACAGTTTTTAAAAATACAGTGAAGTAGTTAACAGGAGAGGAAAGAAGACTGAATACTGCAACAAAAGCAACAAGAGAAGGATATGATAAAGCCTTTTCTGCTTAAATGGGGTTTCAGAAGATCCAGAGATGACTGAACTGATTATAGAATAATGTTTCACTGGAGAGAGATGATTAAATTAAAACTGAGGCAGCAAAAGAATAATAATTGGAAATCTTTGATAATAACTAGCAGTTGTTTGAGACATGAGAGTGTGAAAAGTAAAAATTCAAGTTTCTAAAGAAGCTGATTGGCTGATGATTATTCGTATTTATTCATAATAATTTTAAAAACATTTTTCTCGAACTGATCACACATCCTTTTAGTAAAAACTGTCAGTAAAAGAATAATATTCAAATATTTACGTAACAGTTCAGGCTTATTGTCTCAGCTGCTACTATTTACAAAGTGAGACATCCATGCAAAAGAAAGCAGTGTATTTGGGAATGCTTTGGAGCAATCAGGGATATCTGTATTAACAGATGCAAAACTTACATATAACTGATACTAGGATTGCCTTATGGATTATCCATAATCGTATATAATAGCAAATATGTGATGAATAGTATAAAAATGCGATAGAAAAGAAACCTGGTCTGGTATATGTTCTGTTAACTGCCTTTGTTTTTCGAAACGAAATGTGGTGGTGATTTCTGGAGATGCCCTGTCCAGATAGCTGGTAGCATGGAGTGAAGCACATGTGCATTCACCTTTGCAAGAAATAAAGTCTGCTTGTAAGATGAGTTAGCTAGCTAGAAAAAGATAGAAAGAGAGGGCTTTTGAAAACTATGGAAAATTAAAATTCTGGAAAAAGTTGCTGTAAGAAGTACCACAGAAACAAAAGGATTTTGAGGGAAATATAACAACACAGAAGACAGTGAGAAAGAAGGTCATTATTTTATCTCAACATACTGTAAAGTAAAATTAAAAAGTCAATGTTAAAAGCTTTTTGCAACACAAGTTCTCATTTTATCAATTTCTTACCTTTTATTCCAAATCAACAATCTCTGTTAATCTCTGTAAATATGTTAAATGTATTCTAGTGCAAGTGATCAGAAATTCATTTAAATACTATTGGTATTTTTAAACATAACATATTAAAATACTAATGCTGTCTGCCATTTTCTCAAATGTTAAGTGCAAAAAACTTTCAGGCCAAAATGTGTTAATGTGAGGAGTAATTTCTTTACAGTAAAACACAGAATCCAGACAGATTATGCAGGCAAAGGTTGTACTGGGATCAAAGTGATTTTGGCAGTAACACTGTGCAGAACCAGGTAACTGCAGAGTTCTCAGTTCCTACTGAAGCCAATAATCTCTGTGAAATTAAGTACAGCCCGTATGAAAGTTATTATAGAAAATAATTTCTCAGTGACAGTTTCTTTTGAGAGCATCAAATCCAATTTAAGGGGAGCTAAAGTGAGAATTAACAGAATCATAAAGTAAACATTTGAGTATATGACTATTGTAAAACTTACCTCCAGTTTCATAATGAAGAATACAGTCATACATTCAAAATAAGATAGGCCATTTTAAAGTATTTCAGCATTAAAGGTTTTGTACTCAGAATAAGTTCATGTTCTTAAAACAATTATATCTGAGCATGCACATTGTTTTTATAAACAAAAAAGCCATTGTTGCTGGTTTGAAGTTAAAATAAGGAACAAAACATTTTGTGCATTAGAAAGCACATTATTTTTCCTTCACAATTGACATTTGATTTTGCAGTTTCAAACTGATTCAATTAAATCTGTACTTTCCTACTAATTAGAAATCTAAGTGATACTTGAAAAGAATTCATGCCTTTAAATCACAGAAATGATTATTTTCACAATTGTATAAAGCCTGTAGCACAGCATTTACATAATATGCACGTGATCATGTTTCATAAATATATTCAGTCTTCAAAATAATTTTGAATAAACCACTATTGCACGTTATTTTCCAAAGTTTATTTTTTCTAGCCCAAATAGAAACAGTCATACCTAGGCTACAGTTAGTCACAGCTAACAGCACAGTGAAGTTACATTTAAGATTTGTACATAAACTGCTTAAATATTAACACTTATGGAAGCATTTAAGTAAAAAAAAAAAGACTTTAGTTTTTATAGTTATTTTTTTTAAAAAAATAAAATCCTCATTGAAATCTCTTTAAATCATCATGACAGAAATACAGTCTTCTGAGAGGATAGAATATATTTTTTAACATCATTTGTAAAGGACTGAATCCCCCCAATTTCTTAAGTTTATAAAAAATGCTCTACAGAAAAAGATGCAAAATACAAATTACATGTTAGCAAATTATGACTTAGTGAGAGGCTGAATAAGTGGCACAGACAATTAATCCCGTAGAGAAGATGATCTTAACTTTGAATCACACTTAACATTTAAACAAAACTAATTCTTAAAAGGTGTTCATGGTGCAGTCATCAAATCTATACATCTAGTTGGCTTAATATTTCTCCTACATCTCTATTCATTAACCTGTGTCAGTTCTTTGTGACATGAAAAGAAGCTGCTTTAATACCTGGGTGAAACTGCCGACGAAGCGAAACACGTTGGCAGTCAGTGCCACGGGGAGGCCTCATCCCCCCTCGCCAGCTCCTTCAGCCAACTGCTCTGCTGTGAAACATGGGCGTGATTATTCTGTCCATTTCCCTGGCCTCTAGTCAATGGACTGCTACTATTTTCTTAAACTACAGCTGCAAAGGATAAAAAATCAGGCTCCAGCAGAGATACCTTCCAAGGCCTTTGCTGCTGAATGAGAAAGGGCAACAGATGATCAGCACAGCTAAATATTAGATATGATTCAGGTTGAAGTTTTCTTGTTTTCTCCCTTGAACTCTTTGGCAACCTTCCTGGACAGATTGAACCTCAGTGGCAAAAACATTTTTCTCTTTCATCTTTCATGCATTTATCCAAGTGGCCAACCAGAAATCTGTTCAGGATCTTGGGTAAATAAGTAAAAACTATTCTGGGTTTTTTTAAAAAATCTATTTTTAGAAAGATGCGGGCTCACCTTGTTACATTTTCATTAACCCACTGCTTTTCAGGGAGTTCACAGAAACACTGCTGGGCTTCTGCCAGCGAAGTTACTGATACAGCAGGGTGTAGCAGCTTGAGCTGCTTGAGCTCATCAGTTCCTAGATTGAATTAATTGTTACCAAGAAGAAAAGCTTTACATTTTCCTTAATTTTGTTTTGAAATATTCCTGATTACTCACTGGTAATAAGACATATGTTTATTACTAATAAACATCATTAGTTTCCCATTACTATCTAAATGCTTCTGGAGCAAACAATTAAAATTTAAGCATTCACAATGGCATACTGCAATCAGACATGGCCCTTGCTACTATCCGCATCAGCGCCGTTGACTTGACTCTGGTAGTTAGACCACCAGAGGGAGTCAAAAACTACATATAATTTCTGAGAGTTTATAAACCTCCAGGCTACAGTTTAAAGAATTTATGGAGATTAGTAAATACTGAGCATACTACAAAAATGTCTGAGAAAAACTTCATCCCTCTAGCAGCTGCTGAGGATAAAGACAATGAAAAAATCCTAGCACAGTCTTCAGCCCATTACCAGCCAGAGGTTAGTAAAAATGTGATACAAAGAAAGGAAGAGTCAGTAAACACTTCTGCTCCGTTTTTGGGAAGAACCGAATTACGCGTTGGTACTCGATTTCTCAGTAATGTTAATAACTGGAGAGAAATCTTAAAATCTGTAGATCCAGAATCTGCATGCAACAGTTGGAAAACAGAAGATTGCCACCTCCAGTCTGAGCCGTCTCTCCTGAATAGCTCGAGGAACTTCCGAGACGTCCTTAGCTGCACCTACAGGAGCAGGAGGAGCCGCCTGGCTGGCCAAACGCAACTCTAAGGGAAAACCCGGGAAAAGCAAATGCAACTTTTACCACAAAGCTCCAAAACCTTGGTCTTTGCAGGGAGGGGAGAAGGCCTCCTAGGATCAGCTGGGGCAAATTCCAAGACCTGTTCTTCAAGGGAGTGGAAATGCTGAGAGCTGCCCGAACGTGGACCCACTCCAGAGGTGGGTCAGGGACGCGGCCCAGCAGCCACCCCCCGACTGCAGCGCGGGGCAGAACTAACCGCGCTCCAGCTCTGGGGCTTCGAAATTATGCTGCACGTAGAGAAAATAGGTTTCACAAATAAAATGATAGAAAATAAAATAATAGCTGGCCAAACAAATTTACACACAAAAAAATAGATCTTCTTTTAAAGCTCTCAGGATAATTACCTGTTGTTAATTGATAATTAACTGTTGGGTCAAATTCCAAGGAGGCAGTAGATTTTTCACCTCTCGATGTCTCCAGAAGAACACTGTGTGAATTGGTCAAACAGAAGTCATTTGCTCGAAAGAGTAAATGCTTTGAATTTGATACCTATTCTACACAGCACATCAGGGTACCAGGGGATGCAACAATTGCTTTCATTTGTTCATTCAGTCTGAATTTACTTCATATTGCTATGATGAAAAGATCAATGCAGCATAGAGAAAACATCACTTTAAAATGGTTTTGAATTTATTTGATATGTTTGACAAAGACAAATCATATTTGTGGGCTCTGCTTTTTACTTACAAGTACATTTTAGTGTAAGACAACTAAACACACACTGTCATTTTAGATGTGTATCAAAGTACATACATCAGCATCATGAAATGTTTAAACACGATTAAGCCAGCTGAGTATTAAACACGAGCACATTGTTGGAGGATTTCTGCGGATTAAATAGATGGCTCTCAGCTGCCCGATTCCTGTCACTGGGTTAAGCACAGACAACAAACAACTAAATAAACAAGGCTTCTGACAAGCCCCCAAAAGCTTCAGTCCTCACCTATTTTGAGCATTTCAGTATGCACATGAATACCATAGACAGATGTCTGCATTCATCATAAACGTGTGCTTTATCAAATACACCAAATATAGATATTCTTACGATGATCGTTTTATCTGAACCTTCATGGTAGAGTTGCCTCATGCTACTTTAAAGACATCTCTCATTAGTGATTTCATATTTTAATTAGAATTTACTATTGTGTAATAATGCTTATGAGAAGTTTTACTTCATTATCATATTTAACTTAAAAGCATCTCAGAAGACTTTAAAATATGGTCCAGTTATTTCCGCTCTTATAAAAATTCTGTATTTGTACATTTTTACATTACAAAGAATGCAAAAAAATGAAACTCATGTTTTTATAACACCAACATTTATCTGTGATTCTATATTCACAGCATAGCAGAAAAAAAAAATCTTACAACTATCTTGCAAGTATTTTGGAATGGAATTGAATGAAAACTGGGATTATGGAACGATAAGCTTGTATAACATGACCAAGCTCCGACAGGCTGTCCAAAAACCACCATAACTGGTTGGCAGATGGTCAGACAGCTCCCCGGGGATAAGTAGATCACCCAGCACCAAAGCGGATACCCCCACTGCTGCTCGACGCGGTGGGTGCTTCTGGCAAGAATCTCTCCTAAGGGAAACCAAGGTTGAGCTGTTGGTAACAATAGAGTGGTGCATTTGTCTAGACTGATGTGCAATGATTTTGAAGTCATCACAGCAGATTTCAGGACAAGAAAAGTCTCTTTGTATTTCTGAACACTGTGGGCCAGAGAAGAAAACAGCCTGACTAAAGAACAGAAACTTCCCTACCAGTTACCAGTCCAACGCAGCTAGAGAACTTGCTTTGCCAAAAGCTGCCTTCATTCCTGGTGGTTAGCAAGGCTTGCAAGTAAGGGAAGCTCCTCAAAGGCAGAAGCTTCTGTGGATCCTAAACTGGGGGTTACTCCAGCAGGAGGGGTTAAGCTCGGCCCAGGTCAGGATGGCTGCTCCGGCTCTGCAGATCTGTGATGAGCTCCAAGCAACTCCAGCAAACAGCTTGCTTGGATTTCTTCCACACTAACAGAATGATCCTATAGACCTGACTTTTCCACACCCAAAATCCTCAATTATTGTCCACATTTTCTTACAATGGGTTAAGTGAATCGTAACAATTCTGCATCTTGCCTTTTGTTAAACCTCTGCCACAAGGTTTTGTACTATTTGTTGATGTGATTAAATAATTTTAGGTAAGGGCACCCTTGTCAGAAAGAAATTACCACCGAAGTGCTGATAGCTGGCAGCTAAACCGGCAAACACTGACATTTATACATGCAACAGGTTAAGAAAATCCACTCTGGAAACATGCGTATTGCAATATTTTGGTCCAAGGCAAGATGACAGATGATCTTTTTTTCTTAATGATCTTAGGCTAAATTTGGGGTATCCTTCAAATGATCCTCTGTGTTGTTCAGCCAGAGTGCCTGGTAAATCATGATGAGGCAAGGAATTCAGGCTCAGCCATTTACTTCTTACTTCCATAGCTTTACAGGTAAAAGGTAGAAATTACAGATTCTCTCTTCTACTGGGACTCAGGCAAAAGTCTTTTTTTTTTTTCCCCTCTGAGAGGAAACAAAAGAACCTTAGAGGTTCCTTTCTCTACAGGTAAAGGATCAGCACGATAAAGATATTCATTAATGTAATAATTTGCTGCAGTAGCATCGCAGTAAGACTCAACACTGAAAGCCAATGGCTTTATTCATTTTCATAATACAGCTGTAGGTTAAGATTAAAGGCCTGTTCTCACTTTGGTGTTAGCTTGAAAACAGACCTTAAATTTTCCTTTTCATCTGACAGTTTTAAAATTGCACTAAGTGACTTGCCAGGGCTCAATTCCAACGGACTGACATGGTGATAGAGCTGAAGTGTAACAGCATTAGCACTTGAAAGCTGCAGGGATAGATCCGACAGGGCTGTAACTGGTACAGTCACTGCAAAACCAGTGTCTCACTGCACGGGAGCCTCTGCAAGTGAGTTCATCCCTTCAGCAGAGCAACCACTTCCTAGAGCTGAGCTGGATATTCAAAGGACAAGAACTCATATTAGTCAGACATCTGAGAAAAGCTTTGTGTCAGATAAGTACTTCTTTGAGGGCTTCTGTATAATAGTTTAGCTTAATTTTTCCATAATTATATTGATTTTAAAGGGGAAGAGAATAAAGACGATTATTGAAAAGGGTCATGGGACACAACTTACTTTTTTCCTGAAGCTTGATAAATATTAAAAATTCACAATTTGGTTACAGAAGAAAAAGTATCATACAGGCATTTGCATGAACTTTTGTGAATACAGACAGATTGGCTGCTAATTTTAAAAAGTCATTTTAAGTGTGAATAGCGTGGATACCTTTAAATACATCTTAATGACATAGTTTTCAGAAATCATTCCAAATAACACACTTCTGAATTTAACTCATTTTTAAAATGAAGATAACTATAACATATTTGAATTTGCAATATTTCATTGTTACTGTTAATTAACTTTGAAATCAATTAATCCCTTTTATTCTCAGTATTTTCAAGAAAGTTCCTCAACTATGATAACAAAATGTATATATTTTTTCCCTCCTGTTGGCTGGCTGAGAGATAAGCACCAGAAGCTAGAAAAGGGCAGAACATGTGGCTAAGGGGAAGCAAGTTTGCGCCTGAAAGTGACGCTAAGTGTTTGGACCAGCCCAAACCTCCTCATCTTCTGAAATGCTACTGAAATTCTTTCCCAGGTAGTTGGAAACTCCCCTTTTCATCATACAGAACCTGAACACCTTCAAAATACCTCAACTAAAAGAAGAATCCAGGCTATAACCCAAGAGCAGACTTCAGGAGCACCTTTTCAAATCAAGACCTGTGGCTTTTATTTATTCTTTTTCTCCCCAGTATGATTTATAGAGAGCATCACTATGTAAAACCCAACTGATACAACAGCTCAATAGTAAAGAAACAGGCACCATGGTGATTTGAACACCTAACTTTTCTTTTTCATCTGTTAGAATTATTTTATACAGATTTGACCCAAGATACTGTCAACATTTTTTTTTCTAAGGGAAAATGATTTTTTGCTACAATAAAAAAAACAGAGGAATATGCTTACTCTGAAAAAAAGATATTTTGGTGCATGAAATATTAGAAGTAAATTGTTTCATTTCAGTATTTCAATTAAAATCATGTCTGGTGTAACATCTAGAAAGAAAACAGTTTAAAAGATATTAATTGAAGTGGCAGAAAATGTTGAGTTCCATTTTCAACATACATTGCATATAAAATGAAAACAAACTTTTCCATTTCTTTCCCCACACCCTTCCAAAAGTTTTCCACATGAAATACCAGATTTGATATTCTGCATATTCCATCTGAGACAGTTCCCTCAAAAAGGAGGCACTGATGTATATGGGAAGAAAGACTGTAAAGAAAACAGAAGGACCACAAATCCTTAGAACCATATCTGTGGAATAATAAACCCAACTGAAGAGACAGGAGTACCATATGTAGACAGATACATACATGTGTATGCACACAAACAGGTACAGAGTTAGGAAACACAGGCAGCATAAACGACTGGTAAAGAAGTCTGCAATTCAGTGCATGTAACAGGCACATGGAAATAGTGTAGTAAAATACTGGACATTTACCACAGCAAACCTCCTCGTAGGAACCCTTCATCTCTGATTTCCCACAGCTTTCTGCAGTCCCCTGGCCTGGTCCTCTAAATTTGTGCAGGTTGAGAACTCACTCCCAAATACAAGTTCTCTTAAAATAATGCAGGTCATTTTAAATGGAGGCCAAGACATGCAATACAGCATGTATCCACATACATGCACATAACACAGATTAAAAGTCACCTCTACAACACTATACCAAAACTAGAACATATGTGATCACCGTATGAATGTTTTCTGCCAAGATAGTGTTCTGTTCCTGGTCCCACTAGGGAACGTGCCTGAGCTGGTATTATTTTGTTCAGAAAAATAGCTATGGAAAAGGGCAATCCTCAGCACATGATATTGGGTTCTGTATTTCAGATTTGGAACAGTGCTACGACTATGAAAAAAATGGTCCATGGTCTTTTATTATAAACGATCTAAAGCACTTGGATGGGCAATAGATTTAGCAGAAACAGTTCCTTTTTTTCTGTCAAGAGGAATGAGTTTGCAAGGGACATGCAAAAAGAAGCAAACTGCTTTCAAGCTGCATTGTTTGCAATCCAGTTCATTACTGTAAATGAAGATCAGCAGTTGTTTATGTAAAGTTCCTAATCTATAAATTCAGGCAGCTCAAGTTCCCACATATCCTCAAGAGCTCCGATATCTGCAGGCAGAAGAAAGCTAGAGGTGATCCTTATTTTGGCCTTTCTTTAAACACAAGTCAACACCTAACAGTACTTACCCATGCAACACAATTACCCTGTTTAAATTTTTTTCTTTAATCTGCTGTTAGAGCACAGAAAAACAGACATATTCTCATATAAAAGTCGTCTTTCATGTAAGTGACATATACTCATTCATGTGAGTTTTAACCATTTTAAACTCATTGAAGTCTCTCACAAAGACTGTGAGAAACTGTGGAAAAAAATCTGACAAGAGAACCATTTCCTGTAGCATTTGGTAGCTTGTGTCAGCATTCCTTTTTATTTTAATATTTTATTTATTTTTTATTGAATTTCTATAAAGATATGAAAAGGCATCAGTTTAAATTTCCCAAGAGGGAAACAACTGTATTATGCTTCCAACTCTAAAAATTGATTTCAGCAGGGTGACAATATTCCAAATCCATTTAATACTCAAAACCTTCTTACACTTAAATGAAATCAAATCTCAAAACAGCTTTTTTGCTATATCCACTGTGAAGAAAACAAATACCGTGGCAAGAGCTCCTCAGAGTGCAGCCACTGAACTTCACAAACAACCTGCCCCCGCAATTCACTTGAACTGTCTGCGTAACAAGTACTAATTGTGGAATTTTTCTGTATTTACAGCAAGTTTATTGGGGAGACGGAAGGTATTTCTTTACAAATGAGCCATGTTCACTATTGAGATTACTTCCAAAGAAAGCATTCAGAAAGCAAACCTGCATATATTACATTGACAATTATTTTTCAATATTTTTAACACCGGCCACTTAAAACTGTTTGTGTTATTAGCACATATACTGATCTTTAAATATACTACTTCTACATAAACAGTGCAAATCTCAATATTCACATCAACCTGAAATTAATGCTGCAATTACTGTTGACATTCACATCAAGAAAGTAGTAAAGTAATTCACATGAGCAATTCCCAAACCGCAGAATGCCATTATTAATATTAAAGAAACATAGAACAAACATGTTAGGCTTCAAAGCCTTATTTTGATACACACAATCCCTGTAAACATGGATGTGTTGTATTTATCAATACTGATATCTGATGTAATTCTATAAATAAAACCACTAATATAAACAATTCCTATAACTTTTTTTTTGCATAGGGTTTGGATTAAGTTTACTTTAAAATACAGTAAGCTATTAACAAAATATCCTATTCAATTCATCTTCCATCACACAAATTTATGCATATGCCTAACTTTTCACAATGAGTCTCCCTGATTCCAGTGGAAAGACTCACATGCATAAGTATTTGCAAAACAGGAGCCTAGCCATCGAGAGCAGGAGCAATAAAAGTGCTCTCTAGAAATTTACAAAATATGCTGATCAATTCAATTTTTATCAGCTTATCGCTGATAATGCTTGTCACATTTATGATTCTAAACAGTTCTGTACATACTATACTATCACAGTAGGAAATACGTCACTGCAGAACAGCGCAGTGAGCGAGTTGTGAAGCACAGTGTTCAATATAATTTCCCTTTAGTATTCCCAGTGCATGAGTTGTTAATAACTACACTACACAAGGTGCCCAGGTCTAGTATTTGTTACATACAATGTAAAAGCAAGATATAAAGAGCTTTGCAATTTAAAGTAAGGAATGAAAACACTGGATAATATACAGGGGGATTGACTCCTGCAAAGTACACAGTTCTCCTTCGCAATGGCCATAGCCACCATCACGGTGGACTCCAGGTGATTCCAGGCAGCAAAGCAGCGCTCAGCACCTTGTAGGAAAGAAGATCTGTGTGCACTTTATTATAAAACATCTCATTTCGATGTTATAAAGTGCAAAACAAAAAAATATATCCTAATACTTTACAGTAACTATTAAATCAACTGCCATATTTGCACAACGCAAAATTCAAATAACTTGGTATACATTTTGCATGGACCCTATAATAACAAATATTGAAACTGGAGTTTTTGCAACCTTAAAAAAATCTCAGTATTCTAAAATTGTGTAAATATAAAAAGAAAATATAAATTAACTCTTGAAATATATTTTTAACATGTGACCATTTTCCAAAGCACTCAATATGAAATTTCACTTTCTCTGTTATATATCATTAGGTTTTAGAATCTGTAAAACATTTTAAAAGTCAGTAACTTCAAAAAGTAGAAATAAAAATATTGCATCACAGTACTGGTCACTTCACCTATTAGACATCTATTATTCTAGATGCTTAAAAATAAATAAAAAGAAGTATCCAAGATTTATATTCCCAGTTGTTGAAAGCAAGATATGTGGAGTAACTTTTAAATATAACACAAGAGGAGTTCTGAACGCTTCATTTTGTTCTTAGATTTCAAATACATGCGATGAAATGTAATCACAAATCTAAAAGGTCTTAAAGAACTATATTGAAACTCTATTTGATTTCTTGCATGAAGAATCAAATTCTATGACATTTTTCTGACAGCCAGACAAAAGGACAAGACCCAAAATATTGATACGTTTTACCAGAGCATTCCTTTCTTTGAGCAGTGGGGAAGAAACTGGGAGGAAGATTTTGACATTGAGAAACAATCTTCCACTAAGCTGTACCATGAGCAGCAAAGCTCCTTACTTGGAGCTTGACTGCGCACTAGTAATTGAGCCCTAAGAGAGTACAATGCTGGTTGTATAATAGTATTATACCATATCCAGGGATACCAAATCTAATGCTAAAAACAAAAGTATTGAAATACAAAGCTAAAAAGTATGACTGAAATACATTTTTAAAGCAACAGACATTCCCGTGGCCTGTAAGCCCCAGGAAGCGAGGGAGGGAGAGGACAATATAGCTACTACCAAGTTTATAAACACTTAAGTCCTCAAGACATGATATTCTCTGCTTTTCAGTCAGAAAATTGGAAGATGGTTTCTGGGTTATTGCTGTCTGTGGGGTTTGCTGGCTGCAGCGTCTTTGTAGGTGTAGTTTTACCATGAGAATGGGAGGAAGAAGAATGTGAACTTTCACTGGAGCTGCTACGTGTCTCTGTGCTTGTACTTGTTTTTTTCATTTTCCTTCTCTTTGCGAGAGGTGCCTTGTCAACATTCTGGAGACAAAATCCTTCTCTTTTGTACTTGTTAAAGGCCTGTTTAAAAATAAAAGGCAATTCTAAGTATTTCTTTAGAGTTTAAGATACTTCATGGCTCTACGCTAGTATGAACTGTGGTAAGGCATACTAGGATTTCTTGACATTTCTTATTGCAACTACAGCAACGGCCTTTAAAATTATTTAAGACTCAGTTTGTCATTTTTTTGACCAATACCTAATATTATTATTAATTGGCATTTGCCACTGTGTATAATTTTGAAATATTTTTTATTTAGCCTTAAAACCACTCAAGATTATACTTCCAGAACTAGTTAGCCCTAGTTAAATTACAGTTTTTCTTTCAGCTTTTCTTTTCTAATCATTTTGCGTTATTGCAATATCTGCATGTAACTATTGTTTTGTTTCTTTCTTCTTGGTAGTAAATCCTTACAAGTATTTCAGCATCAAGCTGTTTGATATCACTTTATACTCAGTAGAAGGTATTATGAGAATCAATACTACATTTGTATAATACAGTTACAACTTACACATTTAAAATAAATTTATATCAGTAGACTATCACATCCACTAAAAAGGTATCCATGATAGTAAAAATATGAAACAGATATATTCCAGAACTTTTACTTCGATTTTGTAACCATAAGATGGACAAAAAAAATCCAAAGTGACATAAGTTAAACAGAAGAGTTCATTTCTAAACGAAGTATTAAATTTCTTTTAACATAATTCTCTAAAATAACATATTTATAATAGCCATTACATAAACAGCTGTCTCTCAATCCTGAACAACTTAGTATTAAGTTTTCAAGCAATTCAGCTCCTTACCCCATTTCACAGTACTCACTCATAAATGTTATGCACATAGAAAAAAACCAGCCACAAGCAATCACAGAATTAAAAGTACAAATAAACTTTTAATTAATAAAAAACCCAGCACATTAAAAAAATAGTATATGACATACAATTTCTTAGAACTTACATGAAAGGTAGCTTTGACATATGTATGCACTGCACCTCCGGAGGAGCCCAAGTTATCAGGAGTCATTAAAGGGTTGGAGGACAGCTGGCTGCCATCCTGGAGCCATTCATTGTATCTCAAGCTGGACATTTTAATTCTTTTGTTTGGATCCACTGTCAGAAGTCCTAGACAAAATGTATTATATACACTTAATTCAGGAGTTATTACCTAGCATCTGTTAATAGACTAAACAACAATCTGTAAGAAAACCCTGTGTATCATTTTGGTAACAAAGTCATGCCAATATTTATCCTAGATATGCCAATATTTATCTTAGATAAGGCTCTTGTAGTGTTAAACTATCATTGTAGTAGATGCTCTTTAAAATCCTCTTCAGAAGACTCATTAAATGCTAGAAATTGCTCTTTAGTTGTTTGATAACTCATATGATAACTCTAAGATAATTCATTTACAAGATAACTCTCTCTTTGTAGGGGCACACGACTGCAAAAGGACTTGCTTAAAACATACCATGGATGAAGTTCAAGAGGGTAATTTAGGATCAGGAGTGCCCGATCCACTAACGTCTAAAGCCTAGAGATGCCCACATTTTCAACAGAGAAAATCCTTAAAAGCCTGCTTCTACATATACTCAGAAAGAAGAAATACATTTTTAAAACAGTGGCTGTGCTCCAGGTTTGAAAAGCTCTTTACTTTCTTCTGACCCCAGGAAATGCAAAAGTTACTTCTCTACCAATACCTCGCTGCAGTAGAAGGTTCTGTGTCGGGTATAGGGGCAATTCTGAATGCCAGGCTGGTGTGTGCCCAGCTCTGTCCTTACCAGGCACTACAGGCTCGGTAGGTAACTCCAGCTGTGGACGCTGTGTTGCCAGGGTAGGTCCTCCCATGCTGATAAGAGTATCTAGATATTGTATAGCTCTCTAGATTTCATTTTTGGAATAAAGAATATAAGCCTTATGGTGTTTGTGATTAAATACCTTGAATCAACTCTTTGGCCTCTTCAGAAACATTTTTCCAAGCTTCCCCTTCAAAAGAAAATTCTCCCTTTTTTATTTTCTTCATAATTTCCAACGCACTGGTGCATGTCAAACTTTTGTCTTGAGACTGAAATGGTACCTGTCCTGATAGCATTGTATACTATCAGGAGAACGAAAGTAATATTAGCCAGTACTGTCTATTTATTGACAACTCTACTATATTTTTATTGAATACTTAGTTACCGTTGTTTGTAGAACATCGCTGATCTTTTATTAGTACAAACAATTTCAAGACTATATATATAGAGAGAAGAATAGATAGATATAGGTAACTTAAAATATGCAAGACTATCTAGAATCCTTATAATAAAAAACATATTTTTAAAGAAGCTACTTTCAAAACACTAATATAGGTTCATCCAATTTATATCTGCTAAAATATTTTTTTTTGTAAATCAGAATGCAGCCTGCAGGCTGATTCCTTCTGCGAACTGGAACTGTCAGAAGATTATATAGATACCTATAAAATCTTCTAATAAGAAACTTTCATTTCAAGAACCAAACTGTTTCAATTCCCAGACTGTTTTTCCATTCTCAGAAATGTTTCATTTAATCCACTGCTAAGGAAAAAAAATCTCCACTCTGGAAAACATCTATCTTTGGAGACCCCAAAGCTTTCAGCACCAGCATCTTTACCTCACTCAAAATCAATATCCAGCCAACTGAAGGTTCAAATTGTGTTGAGTCCTCTACATTTTAACAAAAAGTAAATATACAGAGTAAGATAAATATACAGATAAATAAGATGTAAGATAAATATGTATAAATATGTAAGATAAATAAATAACACTCACCAAAATGACCCCCAAACTCCAGAGGTCACAGGATTCATCATAACCATTGTGATTCAGGAGTTCTGGGGCAGCATAATGAAGAGTAAAACATGGAGTCTTAAGGGGCTGATTATCAGGTGGTTTTAAACGAGCAAAGCCAAAATCAATTATCTTTATTTCTGAATTATCAGTTTCATCTGTAAACAATAAATTCTGAAAGCAAACAAAAATTAATACCAACATTGGTCAGAAAGTTGAGTAGAATATAGTTACGATTTTTTTTTCTGCATTTGCTTACTTCTGAAAAACTCAAACTGGAGCTCCTAGAACAACAGCAAGGTGCACAAGCCACACCTACATTGAGAAGGTTGCGAATCCTATACTAGCTCCATGAATGAACCTAAAATAGTAGCTTTCAAAACCACAAGCAGGAAAGAGACAGGATGGTTAGATCAGACAGTCCATCTTTATAAAGGCAATGCACTATGCAAATTGCTGGCTAAGCCTTCATTACTTGGACTTCCGAATTTCTGTTCCTGAACAGGCTGGAGCACTGAAGACTTCCTCAACAACCATTCGGCAGAAGCTTTACTAAATCTGGCCCTTATATTCAAGATAATAATAAAATGTAAAAGGAAGAGAAAAGGGAAAGATGTTTCAAAAGCTGTTTTGTTCCCTTGATGGTGTGAGCAAAGAAAATTTTCTGTATTTTCAGAGCTGTATTCATTCTGTATTCTGTATTTTCAGAGCTTTATGTCAAGAGCTGTATTTTCAACTGACACATTACATTTTCACAATAACCCTTCTTTTAGTGCACTGCTTTTGTAGTATGCAGACTCCAGTAAAAAGATGCTTTCAAAAAGCTTAGGTTTTGAATTGATTTTCAGAAACACTTCAATACCATCAACTGGAAAAAAACATTTTACCTATTGAATTGGAAATGCTACAAAAGAGGTAGGTTTGTAATAGAACAGAAGTTATATTACGAAAGGATGAAACATCAGTAGGAATGGGGGAGCATTTCGAACTTGGGATGGACAGGGTTTGGCAAGCTGCTGAGTTATAACTCCAGTCATCAATAGAACAGTGCCCTTGCTGAATCAACTGACATGAATTTATACTATTCCAAGGCTAAAAAACTCCCGATACCCCTCCAAGCCCATGGCTGACAAACACCAAAAAGAGGAAATATTGGCTTCAAGCAGCAGATCAAAGCCAGTGGTGAAACATAATATACTGAAGTGAATTATTGGGAGAACAAAATGCTGCTGCGAGATAAAAACACAAGCAAGGCTCAGAACAAGTAATTATTGAAAAGTATGTATTAAATAACATAATATTTTCTCTTGAGAAATTACTGAACTCACTGAAATCAAATCAAATCACACATCTTTACTAACGGTTTGTATTAGTTTGTAGTTCATTTTGTGTTTAACTGGAAAGTACAACAGCAGAGTGTTGCAAGCCCTACAAAGAAAATTAACATTAAAAAAACGATGGAAGTGTACAGGTGAAATACCCAAGCAAACTAGCCCTGCTTGTAAGCAGTTTCATAGAGTAAATAAATAGGTACTTCTGTCAAAAACAAAAACGTTTTTTAAACAAGTCAGCATAAATTGTTGACAAAATTGAGTGTTTCATGACAGTTACTTTCACCTATGAACAGAAAATTATCAATAGAATTTGCTAAGAATGTGTTGCTTTGTTTTTAAAAAATCTGTAACAAAAAAAGAGAAATACAGAAATATTGCAGATGCTTAATAACTTGATGCAGTAACATATACAAGCAAGTCATAATACCTCCGGCTTCAGATCTCTATGGACTACTCCTACATCATGCATATGGCTCACAGCTGAAACAAGTCTGCGCATAATATGACTGGCTTCTGTCTCACTGAAGTGTTTCTTCTTCTGAATACGTTCAAGCAATTCTCCTCCCTTAAGCAATTCCATCACTAGAAACGTGTGAAGCTAAAACAAGAAAAATAAAAAACATTAAACATTTGCATTACAGCCCAACATTCACCTGAGATAGGTGTGATAGGTTTTTAGAGCTCAAATGGTTAAAATTGCTGCTTTGTAATGCATCAGACCAATAAGAAGGACCAAATCTCGAATGACATTGTTGCTATTGGTTTCACCGAGATTGAAGACTGTTAGTGTTTTCTCTATTTCAACCCATTTATTTACTTGCAAAAAATGCAGTACTGCCATGTAAGATGACAAGTCTGTAGGGAGACAAATAAGTTAAGACTTTGGATGTGTACTGATTATAGATTCTTTAAATTACCTGATCGTGATAAACTTCATGCAACTTCACTACATTGGGGTGTGCTTCGCAGAGTTTCAGGGCTGTTATTTCTCTCTGGGTGTTGGCTTCCATTCTGGAAAAGTTGAGTAGTCATTTTAATCCAATTTTACTGAGCACTTTAAAAGTATTATATCTATTTTCTTAAGTAGCTTGTAACCCAGGCTCTTGGAATATTACAACTTCATGAACACTACTGAAAGCTCATTCATGTTTAAAGTGAGCTGAGTACAACGCTTCAAGTAACCTGACAAACTAAGACAAGAAAATACCACCCCCAACCAGACAACATTTTTGATGCAACTGGAACTTGCCAATTGCTACAGCAAGCACTGAAAAAGTATTACATTTTCTATCAAAAACAAACCTTTCCCTTAGTCCAGGGCAATTTGACTTCACATCTGTTCCTACAAATATCCAGATTAGTTCATCGTTATCTTAAAGACTCTAATTTTTGGCTCTACCCTTTCCAGTTGTACATAGGGTACAACTTTCACAGCTGTATTGAGAGATCAAAAGGTCCTATTAGAAAAAGGATAATGTTATCCATAAATGAGTTATGCTATACACAGGAACCCCAAGACAGGCCTTTGTAAAAATTTGAAATGGAACAGAGATTAGCACCAGAGGGGAAGTCATCTGCCAATTCTATTTCAAGTACTGAAATACTAGTTGGGGGTGGGGAGGAGGGGGGAAACACGTGGACATTAAAGATGCTCTTTGAATGGGGGGAAAAAGCAAAATATTTCATTTTCACCTAGAAAGAAAAAACCCATGTCTTTATTTTGGGCCAAAAAATGCCTGAGAAATTTTGCCCAAACTCTCCCGTACTGAGTAGAAAGGCTAAACCTGCACTGACTTACAGAATGGGCTGATAGCTGACACAGGAAGAACCTCTCTCTATCTCTCTACACATGTTCTTCTCTTGTGAGAGCGTTTTTACCCCCCTCTCTAACAGGACTAGGAGTGCAGTGAGAATTTGGTGCAGAAGGAATCTGTTTTTCTGCACACTTCCAATAACCAAGAGGTAAACTAAGCTTTTCTTTTTGTATCTTGGTTGCTGTTGTTGAAACTACAAGTGATTCCTGACCCTTAATTTGTCTCCAACAGTCTTTATCTCATAGGAAATAATATCAGGAAAAGGCAGAGACAGGAAACAGACCGAAAAGGGACAGTATCATGAATTTAGATACTCCTGTCTGAACTTTTGAAAATATTTCCCTACTATAAATATTGTTATCATCTCAGATTTATAGATAGATAATATTATGAAAAATATTTGGGACATTTTAAAATACCCAGTCCAGCAAGTTTACAAGACTCCACTATTTTACTGGGCTTCAGATAAAATTGTTGGACGGGGCAATAAATACAAAGCAAGAGTGGAGACCAGCTCTTCATCTGACCTGTCATCTGAAGTACCATGAAAGGTTTTCCTAGGTACAGGATTCACTTTTGCTACGGGTAGAATGAAAGACTGACATCTTTTGAAAGGAAAAAAAAAATTACTGGCAGATTAACATACTTTTTTCGTTAGCAGGAGTTAAGATTAATAGTGTTGTCCTCAGAACAGTATTATTTACACCTAAACAGTTTTTGGTTCAAGGCTGGCCCACATCATTCAGGCTCTAATTTTATAGCTACCTCAAAATACTTGGAAAACATTCCCCAAGTCTGCCTACAGCCTGCAATCCCAGAATATCTTTTCTTATAGACCACTTCTTACCTTCCTTTAGCCTGTTCCACCAAGATGAAGGAGAAAGTGCAAAAGAACCTGTGAGTAATATCACTGAGAGACAGAGTTCCTCAAAGATTATTTCTATGAAAAATAACTAGCTTGCTCAGTTATCCAGAAACATCAGATCTTTTAGCCTAACTACTGACCAACAGCTCTGCTTGCACCACTTTGGGGGAAAAGAAAAGTCCTTCTGAACGTAGACGCAAGACAGAATTTCATATGAAATCACCCAAATGTAAAGGTCTATGTGTCCAAGCTCCCATTATAACCTGTGATTTTTAGCTAGTGCAATGTGCAGGGTGAACTTTAGTTCAGCCTAAAATGCACATCTAGAACATGACTCCATTGCTTCACGTCATTTGGGAAAGCCTGGAAGATATCTTTATCTGGAAAATAATACTCACAAGCTTGATAGGAACTGGAGGACACGTAGGACAGCCAACAGCAGCTAAATAGACAGCACTACATAGACACCTGTGTTTACGTAAGTGAATCCCGCATCTAGTGCCCAGCCCAACTCTCTCTTTAGACTCCACCAGGAGTTGTGACTCAGCCTCTATTTACTGCAGAAAGAACTTGGAAAACTGGCCTCATGCACAGACACACATGTTTAGGTGTCTTATTCTTGAGCTTATGCAATGCAGAAAAGGTATGACAAAAGACTCAAGTCTGGGGGATAGTTACTTCTAGAGTCTGGAAAAGCAGAGTTACAGCCAAACATCTTGGAAGAAGAGGTCACTGTCAACAATTATTTTGATAATAGCACATTTACACTTTCCCTTTCTTTTCCTGCTATGATTTTACAGCATGCTACGGACATATTTTCTGGTGAATAATGAGCAAAAGGAAGCAAAAAAACCTTCCTCCAATCCAGACCTCAAAGAGTCCTTCCTCTCCATGCAGAAATCGCCAGAGAAAAAGAGGAAGGAAAGGAGAGTTCTACAAGAGGACCTGATAGTTGACTTGCTTTGTTTGTGGGGACTATCTCCACTGTGGTGGTTCTCCCTTCAGAACATCCGAAGGAAAGATATTATAACATGGCCTCATACCATTTTAGGCTCACAAAAAAACCCAACCAACCAAACAAAAAAATTACTTGGGCCTGAAGCAAAACCACACTATGGATACTTCTTAAAAATACTGTCCTAGGCAATTACTCAGGCTGCCAAGAAAATGGAGCTAGCAAGAGCCTTTGTTCAGTTCACTCAGGTCTAAAGACAAGAGAATCTTCTAAGGTATTCATATTAGGAGCAAAATTAGGGGAATTCAGGGGTAGACTACAATTATAAAAGCATTTTTCAGGTTTCTTCTTTTCTCTTTCCTAATGAAGATAACATTTGCTTAAAGGAAGCTTTAATCTCAAATGACTCTCAGACCTCTTTTTTTAGAAGTAATAAAGTTACTGTATGACCCTGTAGTTTTTTTTCAAATAGGAATTATTTAAAAATTATTTTAAAACTATTTTTTCACTTCCAAAATGTAGCGAACATTATTCTAATCCATGGGTGACAGTAAGCAAAGAAAATATTTTTATTGTCTTATAGAATATTTATACCTTTTGCTAATTATTTTTACTGCATACTCTTGGCTAGTTTTCTTGTGTAAGCACTTTCGACAAATGGAAAAACTTCCTTCTCCCAATGGTTTCTCTTTCAGATCCAGTTCATAATGATGATAAAATGGAGAGTCCTGTTAGGAAACTGTCTGTGTTTAGTTCTGCAGAATACTTTTAGTATACACAGTCAAAGACAAAGAGTAAAGTATTGTGAGAATTTTTCATCTGCATTTAAAAATTGTAAAAGAGCTCACTTGGATAAAATATATATTTTTAATTTGTATTTAATAAACGCATAAATTTTATTCTAACAAAGAGCAAATCTTAAGCTACATTCAACAACAATAGTCACTACATAAAGCATTACTATCACAATAGCTTAAGGTACAAAATATTCAGACAAACAGGAGCAGGACTGGTTTGTAAAAACATTTATCCACAAAACTATGTGCTCATTGGAAGACATTACAATATTGTGTATTATTAAAAGGCTTCACACAGCTGTACATAGTTTTGGGCAAATACATCATAAAAGGAACTCTGACATGATTAAAGTATCTTCAAAATATATTTTATAGTTGGATGAGTAAGAACTTTCAGGAGTTAAATTACTATTATTATTATACTCCATCTCCTGGAAAACATGACAATCTTCTCATTTCTCACTTTTTAATAGCACCACATGCACAATATATGCTTGAATCACCTGAGGAGCCAATAAAGAGTAAACATGATTGTTTTGTGATCTCTAGCCTAGCCCGCAACTGTTGCTTTGAAAATTTTATGCACTTCCAAATTAATCCGATTAATTTAGCTCTTGATATCATTATTACCTTCATCATAGCACTTCTGGCAATGGTTGCAATTCCAGGCCGTTCATCCCCCACATGAAACTGAATTGGATCTACTGTAGCTGCATTGCGTTTAAACAAAATAGAAGGTGCAACGAAAGAATATCCCTACAGAATCGAGACATCAGAGAACAGCAGAGTTTGAAATTGTTGTGCACAAAGAATAATGTTACATACAAAACATCGAAAGTTTTAGAACAACTTTAAATGAAATCAGTATATTCATAATATAATTTAGAAACTGTAATTGGGAGATAACACTGTGCTCAATGTTAAGCCTCATCTCCAGTAAGGCTTGTTGGAAGTTGTCATATGACTGTCTACATGTATAAATAAATAATTTAAAAAATGGAAATTAATGCTAAAAATTTGCCTCTGCTTCCATTCTTTTGCAGTAACAGAGAAGATTCGTACTTCAAACTAGCTAGTTTCCCCCAAAATACCTGAAATACTCTTTCTGAAGTCTGAGGGGTAGCTGCAGGAGAATATGTTGGATCCATTTCTGTAAACTCTTCTGCAAAGTTACTAACGTCCAACTCATCTCTTATTACTGGTTTAAATGGAGCTGATACTTTTTTGGCAGCTAAATCATCCCAGTTTATATTCTAAACAAAACAAAAGGAAAAGAAGATTAAATCAAATTAAAATGTAACAGGAAGTATACTGAAAAAAAGACTTGTCCAAAATAAAACAGTTCTAACCCCATTTGCTCTAACTCATAAGCAGAAGCAAAAGCATTCAGATTGTATCCTGATACTTTCCTTAGTTAATAAATATTATGTACTTACTTGTGTGTAGCAATGATACAGTTTTAAAATCATAATAGATGATGGAAATGCAAAAAGAACAAAAACAAACTGCAAAGTTAAAAATCCAAGATTCTGCCTATGCTGAATGTTAATTACACTGAAAACATTCCCTTTATTTTTCTAATTTAAGTTGCCCAATTTAACTAGTCCAACATTTACACTAATTAAAAATATATTTAGTTTTATAACCATTACTAGAAATTTCCACTTGACCGTTTCCTTTTAATTTTTATGTTTAATGGTACAGAGACAATACTAACAGCAATGAAAGTAACCATATAGTTTAGCAAATACATTATTGTGGTATTGTTTGAATCCAAGCATTAGTTAATGCACTCAGATCTGAACAGAATTAAAAGCTATTAATTCAGAACAAAATGTAATTCCCAAGAGAAAGTTGTCAAATAATTTTCTCAATATTCAAATGTTATTAATAATATTGGTGGGAAAAAAAAAGCATACACACACACGATATAAAGAGTTTTCTATTAAGTCTGCTGATTTAAATTTTGCATTTTTAGCTGCTTAAAATAACTGTTAGAAGCCATGACAAAAGGAAGTGAAAAGCTTCCATGTTCTTGTTGTGGCATGCACATGAAGTATATACAAAAGCACACAGATACTCTGACTAACTTCAATTATTCATGTTGTTACCACACCTTCTAAAGGAACTGAAATAGAGTTAGTGGAATCTAGGAATAATTTTTTTTTTCTTTACCTGGAAAAAAGGATGTTGTTTGATTTCATCAGCATCAGTTGGACCACAACCTAGCCTTTTCTTGGGATCTTTCATCAAAAGACGCTGAATTATATCTTTAGATAGTGCACTCATTTCTTGTGGATAAGGTGGCTCACTTTTTAATATTCTCCTAGGAAAACAGACAAAATTGATTTGGCAATTATTTACCATATTAACTGTTAAAAAAATAAATGATTTGCTATAGTAACAGCACTGTTTAACATTCCACTTAAACTTCCATGATACTCAAAAGACAGGAGGGATGGCAAAAGTGAAACCACTTAAATATATACATATACATATATATATATGGGGAATCACCAGCAGGTAAGCACAACATTCACAGAAACAAATCAGGAGCCATAATTAAGTATCAGATTAGAAGATACATGGATAAATATCATCTATCAGAAAAAAGTCAGTGTGATTTTTGTAAAGGAAAGTTCCTCCACAGAAGCTCCTAAGCAGTTCTTAGAAGGGGTTAACAAGGATGTGTACAAGAGTAATTTGATTGATGACAGCTATGTAGTTTTACAAGACGCTTTCAGCAAATAACTCAGATGTTTAAGGAAACTAAATTGCCATGGGATAACAAGAACAGCCATGGCTAGTAACTGGTTAAAAGACGGAAAACAGCAGATTGGAGTAAATAGTGAAGATAATAAAATCCAGAAGTGCAGGATCTGAAGCTCATATTTTTGTTTCCTCAAGGTAGAAGACATGATCAAATTACAGAAAACTACACTGAAAGTATCACTGCCATTGACCAGCAAAAACATTAGGTTTACTCTACTACTCTATAGTCTCACTATCAGGATCCTCAGAACTGCAGTGTTAAGTATCACCAGAGAGATACATATCCATCCTGATGTTTTGGGAACAGGAAAAAGTGATGCCAAGCTGTAATCCTTTTAGAGAGCTGAGCAGAAAGCTTTCAGAGCACAGTTTTCACCTTCAAATTTGAAAGTGAACAGATTAGAACAGCTAATGCCAGATTCTTCTGTTCCAAAGGCAGACCTATTTGTGGATTCCCAGTTGAGAGGTGTTTTGTAGACTTTGATATAGCCCTTACAACTGTCTTAAAACCACCTGCTTTACTGAAAGGCTGTGTAGAATAAGGGAAGGACCAGGATTCATTTAGAACAAGACTTTTTTTCTCCCCCCCGCCGACCTTAAACTTAGAAAAATGAAGCTCCATGAAACTTATGCTTTCAGAGCTGATGAATGAATAGGAAAAAATTGAATTCTCCAAGTCTGCTGCAATTAGCATGCTAAAGTGTATTATACCAACTCAAATCTCTGTGCCAGTGCTACTGATTTCATCACCACTGACAGCTGCAAATATTTAAGGAACTTATTTGCAATTTTTTTTTTTTTTTAAAAAAAGAGTGAGAGAGAAGAAATGAAACCCAAAAGATAAAAGCAAGCAATGGAGAGAACCTGGAATCTGTTTAAATTACAGGTGAAAGAGCACCTAGAATTGGCATCCTCATTCAACATTACAGGAAAGGCTGCAGGCATAACTGAAGAAATTAGCACTCCCTCACCTCCCAAAAGGCATTAAATGTAAACTGAGAATGCACCCTTAATGGCAAAAGGAACTGACCAGCAAAGAAAAAGGGAAATAAAAAGCATAGCTTTTAGACCAGAAAGGCTAAAGATAGAGAACTGTTATTTCTTCAAAGAACTCATTTTACTCAAGCTAGAAATAAATACTGGGGGCACATTTCTGAAACAAGAATTAATAAATTTAACAAGCTAGTGCATCTTGACAGGTGGGTCATTTCTTTCAGGCCTGCTCCAAAATCAGCAGCCTAGCAGCTATTTAAACCTCTGCAAACTCTAGATAGCTCCCTTCAATGTCTAGAAAAAGAGGTCTATCCAGGGACCCCAAGAGGCACTTCGTTCCCTGCCTGCGCTGCAGGATGACAGCGTGCTGACATCTTGCACCTACCCCTTTTTTAATGCCTGGTCTACCCCATCTTCCAGGAACTTCCCAAGCACTCCCACTGCTCCCCAAGGCAAGTGGCAAAATCACCATTCCCCAGAAGGTTTCACAGGAACTTTCCTGTCTTCAGCAGCCAGGACGGGGAAGACAGCAATATTGAGATACTCATTGAAAAGGAATGTAACATTTATCACATACACCAAACTGCAAATGCACAAAACAGGTCATCCCTCAAAGAGGGAGCCATCAACGAAAGGGATTCAAAAAGCAGGGGCAACTTGATTTCATCTCTTTCCTATTATTTCAGTACTCAAGTCTCAAATGCAGTCATGCAGTGACATACAATGATACTTTTCACTTATAAAAAAGGAAACCATCAGTTAAAAGTGTTAAAGAAAAAGGAATTAAATCTCTCAAGTCTCTCATTGCCATCAACATGAGGAACCTGAAAAAAAAGGAAGGAACGTCTTTTTGCCCAGATGGTCAATTATTGCTTCTCATAAGAAGAGAAATTTTGAAATCTTAGCTGGAATACAATTAAAATTTTCCATATGTAAGAAAAAAAACACTACAAACTGAGTTAAGAAAAGGGTTTCCTCCAGAAACCGGGAGATTGAGGAACATCCTTACCATAAGAAAACTACCTGAACCTACCTTGTACATTTATGAAAATGGAAGATGAAAAGTGACAGGATTGCTGTCTACAAATGTGCAGACACCATCCAGAACAGAAACTTAGAAAGAAACAATACTAGTCCATGAAAACAAAGCAGTAACCTTGCCACTACTAAATTTAGGTCAGAAATTAGGTTATTGACTACCAGAGGAAAGATGTTAGCAACTTTGTGGTTTCTCGGTTTTGAATTTAATCTCATCTCATCTGAAAACCTGAAATAACCAAGAGCACATAATGCTATCAAGAGACAGTCAAATCAGAAAAACTTCACACATAAAACATAAAAATGCTAGGGTTTATCTTTATCCTGTAAGCTTCATAGTCACTTTTTTCCTCAGAAATGCAAGTATGGATAGAAAGGATCATATTCTTTGATTCAATGTTATATATTCATAAAATAAATTTATATACTACTAAGATATTACCTTTGACAAAAATGGAGGTTTAGGATACTCCTCAATGCTTTAAAGCTATGGTTTGATGGTACTGACATAGTAAGAGCTGATAAAAATCTCTCCAACTAAATAAATGATTAATTACATATCAAGATTTTGAATTTGATTTTTCTGTTTGCCTGGAACTTATTTAGTTCGACTTTTTCCAACACTAAACATACATACAATGGGGCTGAACATCATCCACAAAAGCTGTGGTTCCACCATAATTTAAATCAACAGAATTGCCCTTCAAGGACCCATTTATTTCAATAATATGTTAATGTTAATAAAACCTGTCCAGATGTCATTCTCTTAAGCAGAACACCGAAGTGATTGCTCTAATATCACTTTCTTCTTAAATTTTAGTTTTGAACCGCCCCAGCATACACATATATGACACTTTGTGAAATAGTATGTGCACACTCTATTGTTAAGAATCTTACCTAGAAATCTCTGCTTGGGAATTTTTCTCTCCATCAACTGTAAATGGTGACGCTCCAGTTAATAATTCATACATGAGAACACCAACACTCCACCAATCAACAGCCTGTAGAAAAAAATAATTATGGATGTTACAATACAGCACAAAAATATTGCTAATAAAAGGAAGAATAAAACAATGCACCTAGTAAACAGCCAGCAAGAAGAGCAGGGCCCTACCTATCACTCTGGATAGGATATAGTAAAGGATCAATACAGTAATAGGATATAGTAAAGGATCAATACAGTAAAGCTAACAGGACTGCAGTACTGACTGAGCTAAGTATGTATTCTCAATGCTAAATTAATACAACTTCAAAATAACTCAGCTTAGCTTTTGAAACTGAGTTCTCTTTTTCCTGATTATAGCAGTTTCATTTCTTTTTCCCCAAAATTTATTTTTGCCTTCATAGCTGTGAAGGGCTAAGAATTTTAAAGCAGATTCTAAATAAGAGACACCTAAGGCTTCCTAAAAAGGAATGAGACATCAAATTTTAAAAGTCTGAAAATGAAATCTAAGAACTTCTGAAAAGCACATTGGAAGTCTATGGGTTACAGTTAATTGGGACATCCAAAAATTTCACAGAATTTCCATGTTATATCACCTGTCAATACCTATATTCTTTCCATATTCTAGTGTATGTATATATGTGTGTATATATATATACACACACACACACGTATATGTTACTCATTATTCATAATTCTGTTTTTTTGTTGTTGTTGTTGTTCATTTATCTTAAGATCAGCACCTCAAAAATGCCTTCAGATAATGCCTTCCTTAGCTATACTGTCTCCAGTTTTGTCTGACTATTCCAATACATGAAGTAGGCTATATAAATTCAAGGATTCAAGGATAGGTATTTCCCTGGGGAGAGAAAGCCAAGTTTTTTTAATAAATTTTTTTTTGAGATGCAGTTTGCAAGATATCTGCACTCATGTACTCTGTCAATGATGAAACATATTTTTAATTATAAATAAAATTTAATTTTAATTTAATAATAATGATAAAATAATTAAAAATAACAGCTTTTATTCATAAGTATTTCTCCCATCAGGAAGGATGCTACTATGAATAATAATGAAAGAAGTCTAGTTTTAACTTCATTAAAAAAATCATTTTAGCTACAGATGTTTGAACTTCCCGGTTTTCCTTCCATTAAACTTGCAAATGCATGAAACTGAACTTCTGGTTTGCTTGTGTTGACATAAAATAACACAGGAGGACAATTAATGAAGAAATCCAAATTTAGCCTCATTTTTAGTTTTTCTGTTTAAGATGCAAAGAAAAATTTGGTTTGGTGTATTTATCTAAGTGTCTAAAAGAACTAACTGAAGAGGTCTGTATTGTTAGGGATTACATTTGCAAACATGTAATTATCAGGGACGATCCCAGAATAAGATTTTTTTTTTTTTTAAATAAAACAGATATTGATTTAAAAAAGAAAATTATTTACATAATCAGAAAAAACTCAAATCTTTTATTACATGTAATACTGCAGCAAGTTTTAAAGCTACTGGAGGACACATTACAAAGCAAAGACACTGAGCAATCAAAAGCAGAACAAGAAAATTTTTTTTTTTTTTTTGATAAGATCATGGGGCTGCTACATATACAGGTATGAAATATGCTAAAAATCATGTAGCACTGTGCCATATCACATTACCCATAGTGAGCCAACCACGTCAGAGAGAAAAAACCATCACCGCATGGCAGTGGAACACAGGCAGTGGAAAAATCACACTTATTTATCAGGTGTCAATCATTTGCTGTCAGACTCTTACACTTTCTGATTGAATACCGTAGGGCTCTGGCTTGATGATAATATCAAATAGAACTGATAAAAGATAACAGAGTAGAGATTTACCATCAAACTAAGAATGATACTAAATTTGTAAGCTCTTCAGAAGACAGAATCAGAATTCAAAGCCCCTCATACACTGGAAAAAAGCTCTGAAACTGGCAAGATGAAAGCAACAGGACACAGTGCAGAAAAGTGTTCAAATGTATGAATATAAAGTTCCATTTATAATAACGATTAAACAATCAGCACTGTAGAAAAAATGTAGAAGACAGAATACCAATTAAGAGTGAGTCAATAACTCAGTAGAAAGACAAAGTATGTTCTATCTTTATAATTTAATTCAAGAATTATAGAGAATTATCATCCTGGTGTACTCCAAACTGCCAAAGTCTAGATCAAATACTGCACCAATTACAGTGCTCCCAGTTTAAGGAAATATATGGGACAATTCAGAGACCAAAAGAAAAGAATGAACATTAAGAAAAGAACAAAGCATCATCAAGGAAAAGTATAAGCACAATTAGTGTAGGAAAAAAAAAAAAGAGAGAGATCGGAGGAGACATTTTCTAATTCTTAAAAAGGCTGTTATAAAAGAAGTTGTGAACATGTCCATTAAGAGAAAACCAAGTCAAATAAACCTAATCTACAGAAAAACAAACAAACAAAAAGATTGAATATTCAGGAAAACTTCCTAGATTAATAAACTATTATTAACAACCTAGGGATCTTGTAGAATTCCTGTAGTGAAGAGATATTAAGAGGTGACATTTGAAACAAAATCATATATATCTTCTTGATCTTTACTTAACTGAAAGAAATTTTGACAAGCCATCAATTACTGACTCGTGTTATTATGCATTTCATAATAAAACTTAAAACTCAAGCTAAATGAAATTTATTTCTGATAAGTGGAGAACATTTCATAAAGGTGAACTCCAAACTTCAAGAAAGAGAAGTCTGTAGCTTAACTTATTGTACAATTTAAGGCATATCAGAATGTTAGCTATCTGTGAAACTTTTTTTTTTTTTTTTTTTTACTAATTTGAATTAGTTTTTAAGTATGAGAATTTATCAGCTAATTCTCTTCTGTTCTTCAGCTAAAGTTTAAACACATCAGAAAAAAATTAATAGAAAAGAAATGAACCTAAATAGATTTAAGTATGCCTTTACTTAGACAACACTAAAAATAAGATTTACAATGTAAAAATACATTGTATCCATGATTTTGAACATAGCTAAAAACATCTATACTATGACAACCTGAAAGAAAGCATGTTTAAATACGATAACATCTGAACAGTGTTACCTGAAGAATAAAACTCCTTAGTAATAGATGAAACTGGGACAGAACATACCTTATCATGGCCAGTATCTCCTCCTTTTACAATATCTGGAGCCATGTATTCTATTGTTCCGCAGAAGGAATACGCTCTCTCATTCTATTAAAAAGAACACAAATTCATATCAAACAATATTATTATACAACTTATATGGGAAAACACGGCTAACAGTTCCAAGATGCTGGCAGCAATTCTTCTTCAAATAGCTCAGAACTGCTAGCTAAAATCATATTCCAACATATGTAGAGATGTGTCGCAACACGCTACAGAATATTTACAATCCTTTATACAAAATACAAAATATCATATGTTTGTGTGGCAGTCTAAATATAAGCACACAAAAGTTAATGTATTGATATTTAAAAGACATTCTCGTAAGTCTAAATGAACTATACATTTCAGAACTCCACCATACTCCCCGAGGTAATAAAGACACACTCTCAAGGCTGCAATATCAATACTCTAGACAATAAATGAAACCTTTAGTTAAAAGGAGCAATCAATTATACACTTTTATAGTCTGGTTAAATTTGATACAAGATGGGTTCCCAATACTTAGGCATTTATTATGACCTCAAAAA